AAGCCTAACGAAGGAAGACACATGGCGGCCCCCCATTGGTAATGGGATAGAGTGACTCTTTGTTTTACCGCCCAAAACGGAGACCAAATCACCATCGTACACGTGGAGGAGATCCGTGACACCTAGGAAATCACAATCTCTTACAAGAGCCACGCTTAATCACCCAACTTATCCAACTGAGCTAGCATATACAAGCATGCCAATCACCTGCAACAAAGGCAACGCTCCTTGGCACTTTACCTGTTCAAGAGATTCCTCAAGCTAGACGACCAGCCTAGAATTTTCAACCCTGCCTCCTGCCTCGAAACAAGCATTGGCAAAAAAGAAAGGTACCGAGCTATCCGGTCATCCCCAACGGACGAGCCGATCGCGAAGGGTATGTGAGCATGTGCATATCCCTTGGCTCGGCTTCGACCAATCCGCCCAAGGCTCCACAACTACATTAGTCCATTGTGCCCCGTTCGGCCGAAAAGCACCGAGTGGACGCACTTTCAATAGATAACTTACTCATTCACCCATTCGGCCTGGCACACCGAGCAAGTGCACCTTAAGTAGATAACTCATTCATTCACTCATTCGGTCTAAGACGATGAGCGAATGCACCCTCAGTCAATAAGTTGTTCGTTCACTCACTCGGTTTGACACTCAGATTGAAGGCACTCTCAACAGATAACGCATTCATTTTTGCACCCAGTTGGACACACCGAGCCAATATGTGTGCACGAGACGTTTCGCCCATACACTAGTCCACTCAATTCCACACATCGATTGATGACACCCCCGGGACTGGTTACACACCCCGACTCAGTGAAAGGCACCGAGTGACTCTTGACCACATGTCGCCTCCATCTGATCGGACAGTCGCACCGAAGACCTCACCAACTGCGAGCATGAACATGTCAGTAATCAATTGACCATGAAGGCTGACTGAAGATGCCGCAGGTGATTCCTACCCTCTAAGTTAAGCCCTTAACTCAGAGAGTAGGGGGCAAACTGTTAGGGCCAAAAAATGTCATTAGCCTAAATAAGGGAACACTTATGACAAAGAGGAAAGCCTAGGCCTAGTCCCGATGCGGCCCAAGCCAGAATTCCCCAGATGAGGCTCATTCAGTATGAAGTACAGTCGGTCCATACCATTTGGACCCAGGCCTCCAAATCCCAGCACACCTTCTAAGCTTATGGTCAAATTTGGAGCCCACAATCACCTACGGATCACATTCCTACGTGAACTCTAATAAGGTAGTCCACTACTACCCCAATTCCTCCAAGGGCCGTATCTGAGTCATGCTCAAACTCCCTTTCACGCCAGAATAAGGGGGCTAAAGGATACACCCCTAGGAGGAACGACTACTACGAGGACTCCCAATCCCACCAGGATTGGGGAACCATATAGTCACTATTTAAACAGAGGCCATCCCTCTCACAAAGGAGATCACATTACACCTTCAGACCCCAGAGTTCTCGCTTGAGAACTTCGCATTACAGCCGTAGTCACAGTCCCTGACTAGACTTCTAGTAACCTTTCTTCTCTTTAGCCCTTACTAAATTAGCCTCTTTCAGCGTTGCTGACTTGAGCGTCGGAGTGCCTACGGCAAACATCACCTTGATGTTTTCTGTCGCTTCACGTTTGTTTCCTTACGTGTGCAGGTGCAGCAGATCGCTAGTAGCCTCAACCTCACGAGATCAGTCCCTCCTTCTGTACAGGTAGATTTTTACGTCTACATAATGCAGTATAGCAATTAAGCGAAGTAAAATTTTAGAAAAACAAAGCATTCGTCAAAGCTCCAGAGGGCTTCAAACAATGACGACGACGCAACAAGACATACTAAGCTAAAACAAAATAGCAAGTTGGATGCCAATCAGATGCAGATGGAAGCGAGTGGATACAATATACTAGTCAGATAACAACACACAACACTCTTTGATCTTTTGAGATTTTTTTTTTCAATCTCTACAAAGACCTTTGCAAGCAATTTCGGCACCTTCGACAAGTACAACCAGGTTCTTTTCATGTCAATGATTTCAAAATTGAGCCTAGAAATGTCATGTTACAAATCATTTTAAAACACATCATATGAGCACTCAAATGTGATATATTAATAAGAAGTTAATCATTCTAGAAAACACAGTCATATGTGTGATAAATTCACAAGAAAGCCTCAGATTTTTTGCCCGAGCACAAGCAAAACAACAATGGANACAGATTTACATTCACATATCCATGCATAAACATGCTAAGTAATTGGAAAGATAAGGGCTGTTGCATTTTCTCCAACACATAATTCTGCAAGAGGCATATTTATAAATCTGTGTTTTAATTCTGCAAGAGGCAAAACAAAGCCATATGTATAAATCTGTACATATGCATTTCCCATTTTCAAAGTGTTTTAAATCTGTACTACTCATCAAGTGTATAAATCTGTACATATTTATAAATCTGTACATATGCACATAAAGATGCCAAGAAATGATTTTGATAACCACATAGGATAGGAGTTTCACTTTGATGAGGCAAAGTCAAATTTTGGGATTCTGTTTAGGCTTTTGTATTTTTGAAAAATTAGTGCCTTTGCTTGTAACAACCGTTTGGGGGAAGCAATAACTTGAAGGACAGAATGACTCTGATTGAATCAGACCCAAATAGCTTTTTCAAAGAGTCTTTCTTTTCTTTAATTCCAGATACCCAAATAGCTTTCTTGCATCCTCCAAATGCATAATAATTTAATGAGGATTAAGAGACAAGACTTTGGAATGACCCAAACTAAACCATAACTTTAAAGCTACAGAATATTGAAGAAACAAAAGATTATAGTTTCCTACTTCCTTCCTACACTTAAACACTTTAGTTTGGAGAAAGATATATAAATCACAAGCCATCTTGATTGAATCACATCTATTGTATTGAGCTTTCTCATGAGTTAATAGCCAAGACAGAAGTTGAACTTTAGATGAAACTTTTGCCTTCCTTCTAAGCTCTAAAAGTGGAAATTATGGCAAGAAGCATCATTGATTGACCAAATAAAGTATGTTCAAAGTAAAATACTCTGATGGTTCTAGATTTCATGCTTTATGTTCCTCTTTCATATCATCTAGATGATGTTCTCTATTTGAGGCAGAAGGGTTGTTAACTATCTTCATCATCTTTCAAGTCTAGAAAATTCAAAATTCNTAAATATCCAAAACAAAAAAAAATGCGATTAGATAAAGACACATACCACTTTTTCCATAACTAGCCATTACTTTCAAGAGGCCACTAAGGTCAACACATCCATAATCATTCCACCCATGTTTAAAAACTTTTTCAAGACATTCATATCATGTAGCAAACAAAAATGGTAAACTCCAAATGCAATAGAACAATTATAATATTAGCTTATCAGATGTCAGATAAACAATAACAACAAACTGATGCACATCATATTGTCATATAAAGGAACATGAATTAGATTAACTCTTTGAACTTTTGAACATTACTAATTTAGACATACATACTTTAAGATTGGCCTTTAAGGTGTCTTTGTTACATTATATTGCACAACATTAAAACTTTAATATCACATGACCCAGTTCTAAAGACATGTATCGACCTCACAATACAATCCATGTATATCTATGTAAAATTGACAACCTAATGCTTTTCATTAGAGTAGGACAAAGTTTGTATTGGTAACCTTAGAATTGACAATAAATTGTCTTTCGTCATACAAGGATGGAGATGTAAACTCTAAGATACGTGTATCAATCTTATAATACATGCACTATTTATGTAAAACTTACACAACAATAGAGAATCGAATTTACTGTAGAATGTGTTTGAATTTATAGTTCACACTTTGCTGTCTTTCATAAGAGTAAAATGAAAGATGCAAATCTGGACACACGTATCGACCACATAATAAATGCACTATTTAAGTACGACTTATGCGATGACAATGAATGAACCTATGACAGAACTATGAGTCTAAATTCACAGTTCACACTTTCAGAGTCTCCTCTTTTTAACTAGTGAATGAACCTACGACAAAACCAGGAGTCTAAATTTTATAGTTCATAGTTTAAGAAACTCCTTTTTAACCAGTGAAAAACAAATGAAGAACGAGTCAAGAGCATGGAGCAACTTAGGAAACTAAAAGTGTAGTAAAAACGTAGGTAGAAATGTTGGCTCCAGCCAACAAGATAATTAGGCAAAGAGATTTGGTGGAACTAACGCGTTTTAAGCAGCCAACTACTACTTTAATCACATGATTTAGATAAAGCAGATTGATTATATGTATTAATATATTTGTCTGCTATGCACATAGAGAGCTAATCTGCCATTATAAAATCTATAAACAAACCATCACAAGTTTAATATAATTAAGCAACACCATCTTTATCTAACCAATTAGAGACAAGTGTGCAGGTAGACTTAACAAAACGGGTGGATGGATCGAGTACAGGTCGGGTCAAACGGGTACGGGTCGAAATATATGAGTCCAAAATATTGGACCTGTGCCCTATCCTATATGGGTATGGGTGAACCCACGGGTGAACCCGTTTTTTCTCTCTCTAGATTTTAGTTTTTACAGTTTCACCCCTAATAGTTTTCAATTATGACAGTTACACCCCCAAAATTCCTACAATTTTAATTTTTTACATTTACACCACCTAAATCAACTACTCTAAATTCAATTTTTAGAATATAAACAAATAGGAACCAAAATAAACAAATAACACATAAACAAACAATAACATATAATACAAAATTACAAATATCAACAAAAATAAACAAATACAAAACCACTAATACACAATTACACATAAACAAACAAAATAAGCCAATAAACTATAAATACCAACTAAAATAAACAAATACATAATCCAATATTCAACAAAAAACATTCTTAGGACAGCAAATGTTCATCCCACAGTGGGCGTGATAGAGTCTCTTGATCCCACAGTCTCGAGACTAGTTAATGGCACATCAAGATCATCATCCGAATCATCATTCACTTCATCATCTACAAAACANTATCCATTACACGTTTCAAGTTTTTCTCATGTGGATGCCCCAATCTAGCATGCCAAAGCTTAGTAATTCTAACTTTTACATCAGAGTTTTCTGTTGGCATACAATCAGCTTGACTAACTAATGCTCCAAAATTATTATTAAAACTACCAGCTTCCTTATTACAAACTGAAGAACTGATTCCACTAATTCTAGTACTAGCTAATGACTTATTTCCTATAGCACATTCTGATGAAACAGCAGCACCAGCAGATGCATTATTTCCTATAGCATATTCTGATGAAACAGTAGCACCAGCAGATGCTTTATTGTAGTCAGAGGAAGATGGAGATACACCTTTCTGAATGGAGGAGGAAATGAAGGCAGAACCAACAGTAGGGAGTCCTAATTGCAACTGATAATGCATGTAACACATATAAGCAAACTTTTTTTCTTTTGGAAATTACAATCCTTCAAAGCAACTTATACTGAATTCTTAGCTACCAGTATGAGCAGAATTCAGTAAGGACAGAAATTATTTTTCTAACCTGAGCTGCTAGGGTTGTTCCATCCTTGAAACTAGCTTTCCCAATCCCTACTAGGGTATTGACCCTTTTACTAGTTGGATCCAGCTTCTTGATCTGAAATTTCACCCAAAAAGAGATGAAAATCAAGAAGTTAGCTTTGATAATTCACATTAATTTTATTAGTTATGTTATCAACTCCTAACAGGAGCCCCCAAGTAATGCATCATAAGCATTCATGAAGCTTTAAATTTATCATCAGAACATTCAATAAATGTCGGCAGGGTAGAATGATTTAAACATCTTTAATATTTTCATCTATTAGCTAATTACCTTGTGATTGCAGCTATCTGCAAAATACACAAAAGACAGCTAGTGGATGTTGAAGGACTTCAAATCCTGTTCCATCATGGTCTCCAAACTGTAAATCATACATTATAAGGAGAAAAAGACAAAATGACATAAACTAAATATGAACTGTAAGTCTTCTCCAATTTTTGTAAAAAAAAAAAAAAAAAATTATTTGAGACCAAAGTATTTTTCCAAGATGAAGCAGGCTTCATAATTTTTAAATTGAATTACCTTCAACAAATTGTCTGAGAAAAATGGATCACCACCAACTAGCAGTCTTGATCCTCCTGTTTTTAGACTGAATGCTCGTATGGAGCTACTCTCACTATCCACAACATAAATTTCTGTGAAATATACAAATAAGCATCAATTTGAAACTTCAGATATGATAACAGAAACATTTAGACTACTATAAAATGGTTGAGAATATGAAATATGTCAAAATATCCCAGCATATATTACCAGGAGATAATGAAATTCCGGACGGTTGTGCAAATGATGTAGTTGTAGAGCTACCTCAACAAAAAATCAGTACATCAATGCCAAATTTCCAGGAGAATCATACCAGTGGAAAACATAAATATAAATGAATAAAAAATTGAAGTTAAGACAAATAATGCTGTAGTATAACACAGATGTATTTGATGAGTGCAAACAAATAGATAGACATAACTATGTCGACCTTTCAGGAGCTATAAACATTTAACAGGGTAGTCGCCATCCGAACTGAGGTTCTGCCCTTTCTCAATACAAGCTCATCCAAGTTCAGCCTAGACTTCAAACTGATCAAACTTTTCTTTATCAGCTTTAAATTTTTTTCTTTCTTATCAACTTAAAGGTTCCAATTTGGAGCACAAATATCCAAAAAGATTTTATATGTGAAGTACGAAGATGTAAAAGAAAAAAGAATCAACTAATCACTTTACTGATTCTTTGAATTACCTTGATCCATTCAAGTTCCTTTCATAACCATAGCCACTAAAAGCTTTAGTAACTCCATCAAGTGTATTGTGTTCCCACATCTGATGTTGGCCAGCCATTGCAATGTAAACCTTCTCATTTACTGGCTCAAAACAGACATCCCTTGGAGAATTGAGGAGCTGAAATAAATGAAATAAATTTTTTACATATCAAGAAAGATGTCAATTCAGTAAAAAAAGGGGCCAAATTTCTTTATATGAACACTAAGAACGCAACCAAAATATGCATCATTAATTCATGTTATCTAATCTTGCCTGAGAGCTTCCCTTGTCTCCCCCTTGGTAGTCAGAGCCTTTGGTTCCATTTCCAGCAAGAGTTTGCACCTTTTCATTAACAAAATCAATCTCCCTATAATACATGCATTGAAACTATTGAAACCTTTTCATGAAAGATTATGAAGATGATGCTAGTAATGTAATTCCTTTGTGACCTTATCTTGAGGATTAAAATCAAAACGTCTGAACATAGTTTTCTATTCTTTTCTGTCTGAGAAAACCATAGTAACGCTTGGGGAACTATGCAAAATGTAACACAACGCCAGTAAAAAAAACAAGGTCACCTTACTGCAAAATCAGAAATAGAGCCTAAAAAGGCTTTGAAACAATTTAAGGATAGTTTTGAACCCGCGATGTACCTCAAAGCGTGGTTTTCAATATTTGCAACATAAAGGTGTAAGTAAACGATCTAACCCATAACTGCAGAAAACAAACACAAAAACAGCAATCGATTCCTTTTCAAACCAAGATCAGGGTACATATATAGATAATATGTTAAATAAAAAATCTGCAGTAATATGAACGATCAGAGTAAAGATTAGAGTTCATACAAACGTTTGGAGCCTTCTTTAAACTTGTCTCTGATTGGGTTCGCTACTGATTTAAAATAGAATTGAACCAACGGTAATCTACACGAAGATAACTCGAAGACTTAAAAGGAATTTGCTAGATCCTCTTTAGCTTCAAGAACCAAATCAAAAATCAAAGAGACTTTGATTCAATGACCAAGGGTGCGCATGAGATGCAGAGAGAAAGTGGGAGAGAGGGCTGCCTCCTTTCAATGATTGAATGATCACACAAAAATGAATTCTCTCATATAAAATCACAAAACTCATCATGTGAAACCCTATTTCAATGAGGAATAGGCTTGGGCTCCAACCTAAACAGCCCCTATATCCAAACACTCCCAATCATGATATTTTATTTTAATTATTATTATTCCAATTAAACTCAATTAATATATTTATAAAATATATTAACATTAAATAATAATAACAATTCATTTAAATATATGCGTATATATATTTAAATATAATCTCACTTATTTAATTTTAACATCAAATTAAATATAGGCAACAACCTCATCAAATTAAATATAGGCAACAACCTCAGCAAATTTAATTGCACTGTGAGATTACCAAAATACCCTTTCGCCCTAAAAGATGAAAATGCCTCTTGCACAAACTGATTCTTAAATTATCTTCTATATGTGTGACCTGCAGGCTTATCATCATACTGACAGTGAGTAGTATCGCGATTAACATCAATTAATCGTCTCACTACATAGTAACCACGATTGGCCTCTAGCAAGGTATCATGGTCACTCGATGATTCGGATTCGGATTCAGTGAAGTAGCTACCTGTCAACGATATGGTTACCATGCAATCAAATTCTTTCATCATCTATTATCTCATCGAGACTGAGGTACAGAAATAGTGTCAACCTCAGTTACACTCAATATGTTTGTATTCAGTTATTGGACCAATGACCAGAATAATAAATTAGATTTAGCAACAACTCAATCCCAATATGGCCACAGTTTTAGTGTCATTGTCATTTACTGAATTGCGCTGTCAGATAACTTCTCCCCATACCCAGGAGTGATGAATCCTCTGTCGATCCGCCATAGTCTTGATACACTCCTCGATGCAGCCAATCACTATCGTATTGACAGCTCTGAATAGAACTGCATTGGGATAGTGTCAAACTACACCAATCGGTGCACAAGGCACTCCGGTGATCTCAAGTCTAAGGATCACATGCACCACCATTCTTTAGAGGATTTATTCCATAGACATTAGGGTTACCATCTATATAGAATCCTCTGGTGGATCAGTCCAGTGAACTTGCCTACAACAAGCACCCATGTGTTGTACTAGGTTGTTAGCAAATAGCCTTGAAAAGTGAGATCAATCACTGTCTTTCAACAGGGTCGTTCAACACTATGATAGTCTTACCGTATTATTTGTGCCCTTGGTCAGAATAATACTGAGGCTACAGACATTTCTAGAATGACCACCATATATGCTCATAGGGTTCTCACTATCAAGATTTGAAACACTTGATACCCTCGTCACGGTTCTACAATTCTAAGGACATATATCAATACATATAGATATGATTTATACAATATAGAATAAATTGTCTTTTATTGATCAATGAACATTATTACAAATAGTCAATTCTACAATAATTGATTGGCTCTAGGGCAATTACTCTAACAAAATGATGTTTTCCTTTGCGTTGTAAGTCGTGCCCTAGAGAATCATGTGACCACAATGATACTACTCAGTACTAATTCATCCGCACAAAAATTGAACCATGAGATAACAAAGCTTGAAATGCATGTTTCTATTCATTTATATTGATTATAACTGGAGGTGTTAACTTAATCATTACTTGAGGATGATTAAAGGTGGCCATGGCCTCCTTGAAGGATCCATCACGTAGACCTTCCTCTCTTGAGCTACTGATTTGGACCATAAAATTCCCATCTAAATCAGTTACCACCTGAAGTTTAGATGTGACAAGACAGTTAAATAACAATCCAAGTATTTAACCATGCTATTCATTACTGGATAAGGAAATATTGGATTTATATACACTGATTATATGCTATTCATTACATGGTGGATTATCATGAGTATTGAGTAGTGCTTACAAACATGTAATCTAAGTACCATCATCAATCTTTAAATATGCAAGAACAATTTGAAGCTACATATTGTTGCAGTATAAGCATATATAAGAATTCTTAAATTCTTAGGATTTCAGATGCTTCTAACTACCAAATTCTAAGGTTTACCAAGAGAAATATACATATAAAATACAAATCTGCAAGTGTATATTTGTTTAGAGAGAGAAAGAAAGAACACCTACTATTCTGTTGTGGTTGTTGTCCAAAATGAAGAGCCCGTTGTTGGGGATATCAATCGCCAGCTTACCAGGAAACTTCAAAGGAGATGTGAGTAAAAAAGGATCATTATCTTTCTCCAAAGACACGGGAAGTGGTGTATAGTCAAGGAGTTTCTTCTCACCATAAAATAGAAGAGCTGCCTCAACTAAATCATCAAGATCCTTAGGAAAAAAGAAAAACTTTTTCAGTTTTCTTTCTTATACTGTACCATTTGCTAGCAAGTTTAAGTTATTAGTGAAAGATAGATGCATGGAGAATCAAGCATATCATACTATAACAAGTATAGTCATAGTTTAAAAAAAAAAAAAAATTCTATCAAATTGAAATAAGTAAGGTAGAACATGTTACCTTAAGCCCTTAGCAACCTTGGAGACTCTTAATTTCAAGAGAAATTAAGCAAAAGAGTATCCACACCAAGGGAAGAAGAAATTTGACCAAGAGGGAGATTTAGGGTTCTTAGAGATTTTNCAAAGATGAGATAAGAAACTGGAAGCCATTTAAAGATTGATACAACACCTGAGGTGCTAGTATATAATAAGAAGCATAGGAAGAAGCAGTAAAGGATTAATTGTGATAAAAAGGCAGCTAACATGTGAAGAGAGGAAAAAGTGGAGTGGACATGTGGCAACAGGAGAATGGTGGATTGTTGAATTCTGTTAGGAAAAGGGAGTGACTAAAAGGACCAGCAGAAGATGGAGTAAGGGTATCTGAAGAGAATATAGTGAAGGGGAGGTAGCTGGCCCTCGAAATCCAGTGTATTAGTTTTCCATCGTTATTGTTTGATGAATTTCTTGTTATTCTTATGTTGGGATATAATCAATCTGAATGAGTGTAATGCTTAATAACTCACGGTAGTTATATAGATTGGTGATTCTTGATGCTTACATTGAATTGTTTGAATATACAACATGTCACAAAAATTCGCAAATTCGAAGGGATCCTCCAGCCTTGTTGAAATACACAGACCACAGTTCTCTAGTGGATTAAGTCAATCAGCAAATTCAAACCCGTAACGGTATCTTACTTGAACTTAAGGAGAATTTGAACAAAGCTCAAAACCGCATAAAGAGTTATGCCAATGAAAAGAGGAGGGATGTCCAGTTTGAGGTGGCAGAACTGCCTATCTTAAGCTCCAGCCATACCGTCTGAAATCCCTAGCTCCCCATTGCAATGAAAAGCTAAGACCAAGGTTTTATGGCCCTTTTCAAGTCCTTGAGAAAATTGGACCAACAACTTACAGGTTAGAACTGTTGGATACTGCCTATATCCATAATGTGTTTCATGTGTCCCAACTCAAGAAAACTATTTTTCCACCACCAAACATGCAGCCTCCCCCAGATTCATTAAATAAAGACCTGGTTTTGGTAGTCGAGCTTGAAGAGGTGCTTAAGATCAGAAGGTTACTCAATGGTCAAAAGAAAGTCCTCATTAAGTGGAAGTGGTTGCCTCACCATGAGAATACTTGGGAAGAGTATACAGCCCTGAACATGTAGTTTCCTTCTTTCCACCTTGAGGACAAGGTGACTCTTCTTCGGGATGGTATTGTGTAACACGAGGTGCTGGTATATAATAATAAGCATAGGAAGAAGCAATAGAGGATTAATTGAGATAAAAAGGCAACTAATGTGTGAAGAGAAGAAAAAGTGGAGTGGACAGGTGGCGAAAGGAGAATGGTGGATGGTTGAATTCTGTTAGGAAAAGGGAGTGAATAAAAGGAGTAGCAGAAGATGGAGAAAGGGTATCTGAAGAGAATATAGTGAAGGGAAGGTAGCTGGCCCTCGAAGTCCAGCGTATTAGTTTTCCATTGTTATTGTTTGATTAATTTCCTGTTATTCTTGTGTTGGGATATAATCAATCTGAATGAGTGTAATGCTTAACAACTCACTGTAGTTATATAGATTGGTGATTCTTGATGTTTACATTGAATTGTTTGAATACATTCCGGTGATTAATATTTTGTGTGTGGTTGAGTAAAAGAATCTGCGTAGGTTCGCATCAAAGACCAAACAGAAAATATCAGACATGCAGACAATCTTTTGGTCCAAATTAATAATCAGCTAGCCTAGGTCCAGTTTAATAATGGGCTCACCTAATTAATGATGGCATCACAAACCAGATATTTAACTCAAGTTACTAAACAATACTCAAGGAGAAAAGATGAGAAAGATAAAGAATAAATATCATTTTAAATTAGTTATGTAACAAGACAATCTTTTGGTCCAAAATAATAATCAGCTAGCCTTAGTCCAGTTTAATAATGGGCTCACTTAATTAATGATGGCATCACAAACCAGATATTTAACTCAAGTTACTAAACAATACTCAAGGAAAAAAGATGAGAAAGACAAAAGAATAAATATCATTTTAAATTAGTTATGTGACAAGACAACTTTGCAATGAACAGTTCAAAGAAAGAGCTGAAATTAAACCTCATACATGTAACTTGACCAAAACTCTCCGAGGGTTCTGCATGGCATCAACTAGCGATCTTCCCAAGCTAAAACAGACATGAGCTAAGCCATATTAAAAGTGATGCATCCTACTGAAACAGTTAGACTTCCTCATTATTTATTTATTTTTTCATTCCAAAGGATAGAAACATAAAAGAGACAAAAAGACTCCACGAAAGTTACAAAATACACAATAGGTCCGTCTAAGGCACATTTGATTAATGAATGTAAGAGGGTAGCTTTTGGTATTTTCCACACTAGAAATTTAAGTTCCCATTCGCATAGAAATGACCAGAAAAAACAATTCTCTTATAGTTCCCCAAATCTAATGTGTTTCTGTTCGCAAAAACAGGTTCAAGTAGAATATGTATTATGCAAAAATGCTAAGTTCACTTCTTCTTCCAAGGATGAATGAAAACATGGATTATCAATTCCAAAGTAAAAATTAACTTGAATTGGTTGGAAAAACATGGCTAAACTGACCAATTAAATAGACACCAAAAATATAGATGCTGAGTTACTGCACAAGGATGAAACATGTGATGCTGAAAAAGACCTCTCCTCATTAAATGATACCTTTCGTTCAATTAAAGTTCTCGATCCTTGCAGTCTAATGCCTCAAATCGTGGATCACTGCCCCATTTCTTTCTGAATGTTTGATTTTCAGTGTTGTGGTCAATATCCTGAAAATGAAAATATGCTCAATAAACCACCTCCAGCCCGCAATCTTATATTTATACAACTTAGTAATAATTGCTATTAAAGTAAACATTAGCAAAATAAGAAAACACTTGAATTCAATATAAGCTCTGAAACCTCTAATGCTTCTTCAAGTAACTGCTTGAATCCCTCTATTACAGCCTTCTGAGCTACTCATTTTTCATTACGTTCCTCCTCAGCGCGTGTCTTAACATGGTGTTCAAACAAGGCCCTCCTTTCCAATTGACTTGGGGTGGCCTAAAAAAGAAAATGCCTTTCCCAATCAACAAAGCAGCAAAGGATAGAAGTAGAAAATGCTATGGAAAACATTAATACCGTGGTTGTCAAAAATTAACATATGATACAACAAGAACAATATGTACCAACTTAAGAACTATAAAAACGAACAAGGACCAACTTAAGCAAAAGTATTTCACAAGCAAGTATTGATGGTGAGACAAAACAAACCTCATATATAAACACAGTCAACTCATCACAAGTGAGCAACTTACATTAGCCTACTAAGCCAAACTTATCATGGTAATATTAAAGCATGAACAACCAACCCACGCGCAACTTACATTGACCAAACAAATCAACAGCCATGTAGGTTGGGTTGCATGACATTAAAACATGAAGAACTAAACCAAACAATAAGTTGGGTTTTTCGAATTCTCTTTTAGGGTTAAGTTTACCAAAAGCAGTCTATTCGATAAGTAATAACCTAAAGACACACGTTCGAGCCTGGGTTTTTAGAGCTTACTAAGCTCGAGCTCAAGTTTGAGCTCGGTACATTTATCACGAGCCGAGTTGGAATATCGAGGTGTCCGGCTCGATCGGCTCTGATAGGATTGCCTCTTAAAGGAAGACAAAAATATTTTATAGGCAAATTCTTAATATCACATCCAAAGCTACTAACCAATGATGCAACATTGCTTTTTTGATATAAAACAATAAGTTACATTAGTCAAAAGAGAGAAGTAGAAAGTAGACTAGATATCTACTAAGGCGTGAGATCACCCTGTGGTAAAAGGCCTCTAATTCTCAAACAAAATATAAAAAATCTTTAGACTCGGCAAACCTTAAAACGAGGATCAAATACTATCTTTGGCAGTTCCTTCTCCCATTTTGAGAATGGAGCCACTCCTCTTTCCTTAAGCATTTCCTGTGAAATTTTTATTGGCATGTTAAACAATTAGTTAATGAAACTAGCATTTCTCACAAGCTACATTTGAAGTTGCATCAAAAAAGAATATTAACAACAGTAGCAGACAATATCATTTAATACAATAATAGAATGATCCATCACATTCAAACATAAATTAGTTCTCTTTATATTAGAAAACTGTATCTTTGAAAGTAATATCAATCCCAAATCTCCTTTGCTTCCTCACTCAATTATAACAAGTTATCCACCTCCTTTTGTTTCATGAAACCATGTTCATATTAATGTGAGCTCCAAGCCATTAAACACAGCCCATTATAATTCTTCAATTGCACATCAATATCATAGCCATGCAATTGAAGTTAACAATTAATAATCAATTTAGCCAAAATCAAATAGATCGTCATTCAATAAAATACTACAAAAGGATTACACATTGAATCACTTTATCAAATAAATTGCTAAAATGCAAAAGTAATTAGTGACTAAGCTCTTACCAGTACCCATGAAAGGGACAAAGTCCTCCACTGTAACTTCATATCCCATTTCGACAAAAACATAGACACCAGCCCTTCTAGAAGGCTCCTCACCAATTGATATATCAAATAACCACTGAAAAGAAGAAGATCGATATAATTACTTGAACACCCGAGTTGGGGACCCCAACCATTACGTTCTCGTGTAGTGCATCAGTGGCGAGCTTGCACTTGAATAGATTGGGTGGGCGTGGGGGCAGCAGACTCATAATCTTGGAAGATGCCGGAGAAGGTGGAAGAAGTGAGTTCAGATATGACGGTGGAACGTTTTCTTTGGATGATCTTTGCTTCCGCAATGACTTTAATTTTGAATTGGGGTTTGGAGACGATGAAAATGGCGACTCACATGAGTGGGTCTCTCTCAAGATTGTGTTTCTTGGCTGCATGAAGTGCTTCATTCCGATAATCAGTAAACTATAGAGAGAGAAGAGAGAGTAGGGTTTGTTAATTTGGGCAAGATTGCTAAGATTGAGACCGTCGGAGACAGGAAGAGGGGAGGAGAGAGAAATGTAGCCGTTAGAGAGGGGTACAAGAGGATGAGAGTTGATTGCTTATTCACATTGAAAAAGGGACGGAAAGTGAGGAACGGAAAAAGGGTAAAGTTGTTTTGAAAGAAGACGATTTTAATTGATTTACAAGCAAGGAAATGATGATCTTGAGCTCGGAAACATTTAATTTAAGTAGTGCACGTGTGCACTGGACACGTGTATCCCACACGAATTAGTGCTCAACGGCACATCACACTGTTCGATCTGAAGCCTCATTCCACATGCCACACACAATTATTCCTCAACGATCTCTTTATACATAGAAAACCAACACAAAACTTCTCTTCGATTAGCCAATCAACCAAATGTCTCCACTTTCCTTCACCAAAACTTCTTCATCTTTTATCATCATTTCTGAAGACTAAAATTCTAGAGAAAATCAGAGCAGCAATATTGCTATTAATTTCCCTGTTGCTATAAAATGTTTAACAACCGAAAAAAAAAAACTTCCAAATCCTACTAATTTGACAATGAAACTTTAACTGTTCATTCTTTCAATATTAAAATATCAAAATCACTAACCGTCTATTCTGCAACTTGATGTTGACTACTAACATAAATTTCAGTCCCCAAGCCTATTGATGGCCAGTGCCTCTTTACAACTTCTGTACCAAGATCCTTGTAGAAGTAAAGTGATTGAGATAATCTTCCAACATCAAGCTCCCAGGTTCACTCTTCGTTGGGTATTCGTAGTCGCCCCAAACCTGGTGTGGTAGAATCTTTAGGATTTCCTGAGGTTGAGGATTGCTAAATGCATCACAAAGATTGAATGGCTCCTCATGATACTCAGCATTTCATAGAGAACAGTAAACATGATGAGCATCATACGGGAAGTTTTCCACATCTATTCGATCATCAGGTTTGCACCAGGAATATCCTACTTCAGGATTTATAATCACCTCACTATAACGAGTAACATATGACGTCACATTCCGATCACAAGGCTGGCCACTGTTCTTCCAACAGCTTCTGTCTGTGAAAAACAATTAATTAATTAATTGTAAAAACCACATTACAATGTAACGAAAGAAAGAAACAGAGACAGAGACATGCAAGCCATTCTCGGTGGCCTTGAGGGCAGAGCCTCCTTATTGAGAACCTTTGAAGTAGTAAGGAGAGATTTGAGAGAGAGAGGAATTGGAGAGATTTGAAGAAATATAACATTGGAGAAGATCAAATAAGATAATATTGCCGTTCTAATGTTTTTTGAAATTTGAAAATATTCAAATAAATCTCCTCTTTCTATCCAAAAAAAAAAAAATTGTATTTATCTCTCATCCTACAGTCAAATAATCAAAGAAACATTTGCCCATGAGTGGTTCTTGACAATCTCCAGAGAAAGACGACTGTGCTCAATGGACAGCATTGGTGGAGAACCAGATTTATTAACCCCTTGCTAGAGACAATCCTTTTTGCCCAGAACCAATCACCAGGCCATCTTTAAAACACATTGATGGGTTTCATCACCTTCCAGCCCAACGCAAGATGAGCCCAACAAGCCTCCACCCACATCCAAAGATTTTGAAGAGCAACAAAAGGCCCCTTTGCAAGCTCATGATCCATCTTTTAGCCTAGCCCACCAAAAATAACACACCTCGGCCCAAAAATTTCAGGCTTTCCCTGACTTGGATCTGAGATATCAAGACCTGGTCCTTTCTTCATCTTCCTCAACCTTACACAACCCCAATTTTGCATTCCTCCACCATCATCTCTGACATTTCCAGAAGGAGGGCTACCAGATCGATCTCGCCCATTCTCCTCATCAACAACCGTTACGTGACTGCTAAAAGTTAGGCCATCATCGAACCTAGTAGCAATATCCAAATCCGATGGCACCACCACAATTCTAGGATCGGATTTCCAATAAGTAACAACTTTCTTTGCATTGGAATACATTTGAGGTATAGGCTGACGCAGCAAAGAGCAACATTCCTAATCTGGAATATTTCTCCTCTACTTCCCGATGTTTTTCTAGGCTTAATATGCTATTTGTTTACTATTATTTCATTTCTTCATTCATTTGATTTTTTACGGAAATGGAATGGTGGAATTAGAAGCAATAGACGACCAATATTTTAGCTAATAGAAGAGAAGGGAAGAGGATTGTAGTGAGACAACGGAAAAAAGGGTTAGAGAGACAGGAAGTTTAAGAGTAGTAAAGTTTTAGTCTAGTGATGAGTTAGGCCCTTTAGGTCCTTTAGATGTTAAGTTCTTGTGTTTCCTTCTTTTATTTTTTGCATTCTTTTTCTTGTTCTTCCTTTTAAATGTTTAAGTTTTAGATTTGGTAATGCCAAATGTCTTATCTCCCATGGAAAAGTAGTACATCTAGTGAACAATTTAATGCTTTTGCTATGGCTTCCCATGACTTATAATAATAAAAGAATTTATATTGTACTATGATATTTGAGGAAAATGAATTCTTGATCAAAGCGCCCACAGCAGGAAAGTAGCCAGGAGACACAGCACCCACTGCAAAAAGAAAGTAGCCAGCCTACCAAAATGGATTACCCCATCTCAAAGCAACCCTCAACCCCTCCACTTGCTTGCACCTTCTCCAGCCCAACAACCAAAATAACCACCCAGCCAACCCAACACAAGCAACAACCACAGCCAAGTGTGAGGCTCACTCGCCAATCACACAAACACCATGAGGGATACTCCTTCTTCATAAAATCAGACTAGCTCCGGTATAAGAATCACCTTTTTGCTGCTTTAGAGACTTTTTACTAGAGATGTTACGACCGTTCACGATAACAACTGAATCCTCTTTAGCGCCAACATGCTTTTTACTTTTATCTTTACGAGTAACTCCCTTTGACTGTAAAAAGAGCAAAATATGTTTTGTTATTATTAAGATATATTATTAAAATAGGTATTGTTGATTAACGTTGACCACCGTTGATTGTCAACCTACTAACATTCGAATAATTTTAAATTTATGAATAAATTATTAAATTATTTATTTAAATTTTTTTGTACATATATGAAG